TGTGCCCCAAAAAGAAATAAAGGCAGGTCAAGGCAGGTCAAGGGCCGAGGCTTTTTCTCCTCTTGAGAGAGAAGCCGTGCCGTCCCTTTTCCTCCACAGGACTCCGTAGTCTGTGTGAATTTCCCGTATCTCATCCACAATGTCTCGGACCCCACGAGCCGGGTCCGCGTCACACCTGGGGGTGAGCATGGTTTCTAAATGCTTTGGAAGGTGCCTACACCGCCATGAGAAAGAGTCCCACAGAATCACAGTCGAGGGGAGAGAGAGCCACGTGAACTTTCCAGGTGAGGGCACTTAACGCTGAAATGCACAAAGGGACAGAGACAGGCAAGCCGGTGGGAGGTGCTGTGGGGGCGTTTGGGGGAGAGAGTGTTACCTTCGATCTCATCTTGTCCCAGCGGTCGTTCCTGGCGGGGAATGCGAGGAAGAGGGAATTTGGAGAGAGAGGGTCAGGGCTTCAACAGGTAGTCCTCCCAACGCGTCCTCACGTTCTCCCGCCCCTTCTTCACCGTTTCCTCTTTCTCCTCCAATCCTTGCTCCCGCCTCCCATGCCCCTCCCATCTCCCATCTCCCGTCTCCCGACTCCCATTCCACAGCTATTGGCTTCTCGCCCTCTTCTCCGCCTCTCTCGTTTCCTCTCTCCTGTCCCTGAGCCTTGCTCCCTCCCCTCAGCCTTTCCCAAAGACTCATCCACCCCTTGTGCTGAAAGGGGTCCCGGGGCCATTGGATCGACCCCCTCCTGCTCCAGAGGAAGAAAGTGAACCCCACAAGCACCAGCTACCACGTTCAGAGCGCTGACGGAGCCGGGCAGCTTCCCTGATCTTTCCATTTAAACCTCAGAACCGCTCTGTGAGATCCAAACATCATTCCCCTCTCATTTAAGAGGAAGCTGAGGAACAGAAAGGTTAAGGAGCCTGCCCAAGGTCACACAGCTCATGGCTCAGCAAGCCAGCTGCAATGAGTGCTGTAATTTGCATTCAGGGCCCCGGACTTTCTGGTTGGAATTCTCTCCAGCACAGCCCACTGAGTCTTTCTCCCAAGAGCTGGCACCACCCTGGAGTGGGGCCAGTGTTGGCCAAATCCAGAGGGGGGATTGGGGCCAACATGACCAGTTCCTAAAAGCTTTAAGAATTTCCAATAATTTTTGCTGCCACCCACTTGGGGTCACACCTGGAGGGTCAGGCTTGGCTATGAGGCCTGCCACCAACCTCTGGCCTCATTCACCCCCATTTCCCTTTATCCTTGGAGCCCTCCCCCAGCCTGTTTTCTTATTATCCCCCTCCCTCGTATCTCCTCCCTCTATTACTATAATAATAATTCTTAAAATTTTATTTATTTTTAGAAGGGAAGGAGAAAGAAAGGGAGAGGAACAACGATGTGAGGTTGCCTCTCACGCGCCCCCTACTGGGGACCTGGCCTGCAACCCAGGCATGTGCCCTGACTGGGAATCAAACTGGTGACCCTTTGATTCACAGGCCGGCACTGAATACACTGAGCTACACCAGCCAGGGCTAATTATTACTATTGATTTAAAGCCTGGCAGAGATGCCCATTGGAACCAAACAGATCTAGACCCGCCACTGCCTAATCACATAAGCTTAAAGCAAGTGATTTCATGGCTCACAGCCTCAGCGTCCTCGTCTGTAAAATGGGAATGAAAGTATTCCCGACCTCGCGGGAAGTTCTGAGGATTAAATGGCCTCACGAGCGCAGAGCCCTTTGCACAGGGCTGGGCACACAGCAATGACTTAATAAGTGGCAGCTATCATCATCATCAACATTACACCATCGTCGTCATCCTCATCATCGTCGTCATCCTCATCATCGTCATCATCACCTCTAGGGGTGTCCACAGAGAAAACTGGTGCTGGTCGCCCGTACTGACAGCACCCCAGTTCCTCCTCCATTTCCTCGCCCCCTTCACCGCCCTCCCAATGCGCCTGACTCCCAGTTTCACCCTCACCCGTTTGGCGAAGCCGCCAAGTCCTCACCGCGAGCCCCAGATTCTCCTGCCTTAACTCACCGCCCGTTCCCCTGGCCCTGCCCGCCACCGTCCCCACTGCCCTCCACCTCACCCGCTGTTTCTCAGCGATGCCTTTCCTCAAAAAGATGCAGGCGGGGCCCATGGGGAACTGCATGGAGGGGCGGGGCAGCGCGCACCGATCTCAAGACGGTTCCCCTCCTTCCCGGCCTCCTCGGGGGCTCAGCCTCCTTCTCTTCTTCTCTATCACTTCTCTGCCAACTCTGCCTGCCTCTCCTGGCCTCTCCCTCGGTCCCCGTGTCACAGAGCTGTGACAGCTGGGCGGGAAACCTCTCTACTCGGGATGGGGAGGGGTCAGAGCGGTTCCTGCCTCCCCATCTGGCTTGAGCCGGGAGGGGCGGCGGGTCTCAGGCTCTGAACTGTTCCCCGCAGAATGGAATTGGAAGGAGTTTACGGAGAGGGGATTAGAGGGGAGGCCCCGTCCATTCAGTGCTCCAGCAGGTGTGTGGAGCCCTGGCTGGAAGCCCGGCCTCTGCTGGCCCCTGGGCACAGAGATAGGAGACCGAGGGGACTGTCGCACAGCAGTGACTTTGCCCAGCTTGCTGTGTGCCCAGCCCTGTGCAAATGGCTCTGTGTTCCTGACACCGTTTAATCCTCAGGACTGCCCGCGGGGTTGGGAATACTTTCATTCCCGTTTTACAGATGAGGACGCTGAGGCTGTGAGCCATGAAATCCCTTGCTTTAAGCTTTTGGGATGAGGCAGTGGCGGGGCCGGGGCATTTGGTTCCAATGGGCACCTTTGTTTTGTGTCCAGGAGCTTTTGAGGAAGTCGGGCCTGTGCACCAATGAGCAGGAAGCAAGAGTCAGGTGACAATCTGACCTCAGGAAGGAGGTGTGTGGAGCAGTTAAGAGGTGGGTATTTGGCCCTGGCTGGTGGCTCAGTGGATTGAGTCTGGGCCTGTGAACCAAAGGGTCACTGGTTCAATTCCCAGTCAGGGCACATGCCTCGGTTGTGTGCCAGGTCCCCAGTAGGGGGCGCATGAGAGGCAACCACACACTGATGTTTCTCTCCCTCTCTTTCTCCCTCCCTTCCCTTCTCTCTAAAAGTAAATAACGTCTTTGCAAAAAAATGTTTGCATGTCTTCTGCTCATCTCTTCCCTTCTGTTCTTCCCAAATAATCTGGGGCCGGGGGAGGGGAAGGTGGGACCAAGGCAGGCATCATGCTGGTAGGGGGGTCACAGTGAGAGGCCATGCTGGAGACTAAGGACACAGTGAGGGTGGGAGAGGACTGGGGGGGCAACATGGTGGAGAGCCAGGGCTCACATCGGGTTTGGAGCGAGGGAGGTGTCCCCACAGAGGGGCAGCCCGGCCCACGGGTTGGGGCCTGGGCAGGTGAGGGCAAACCCAGGCCGGGCAGCCTGGGGTGCACCAGAGCAGGACCTGAGCGAGGGGGTCCCAACGCAGGTGTCCTCGCCTCCAGTGGGGGTGTGTACGGGGACGTCCACTCATGGGGGTGGCATGGGGGAGGGTGCTGAAGCCAGATTGGGGCAAGAAAGGTGTCCCTGAAGAGGGGATGGCAATGGAGAAGGGGGGCTGTTTTCACACGCGGATTACATTCAGGGTAATGAGGCCCGTGTTCTCAGTGGGAACAGGAAGTCAGGAACAGGGAAAGGGCAGTAGGAGGAGCTCCGCAGTGCAGGGCTAGAGTCAGAGGTGGCGGTCAGGGATCCCAGCCGCTGTGTGTGGGGGGCAACTCGGATGTCTGATCCCTAGCTCTTAGAGGACACAGCAGCTGCTGCACCTCGCTGCTGATGAGCACCTCTTGCCCCCAGGTCTTGACCCCTAAGTACCACCATCCACCGGAAGGAAGCCGGACTCCTGGGAGACTCCGCCCACTCCGTGTCTGGGGGAGGAAGTGTGAGGCGAGCCCTGGCACACCCTGTCGTGCCAGAAAGCGACAATGCTCAGAGTTTCAGGGACAGAGGGCGGTTCGAAGTGCCATTGAGCACGTCAGGGGCAGTGTATAAGTAATATCAAATTGTATCGGATAGCATAGGAAACCAGGAGTCCACACAGATTTTTTTATAAATCAGTGGAAAGTGTGATGATACCTGCGGAGCTCAAATACCTCCTTTCAAAATACTAATTTCCAAGGGGCGTCGCTTCACAGAGGGGAAACCAGGCGCACGCTACCTGAGCCAGGCAATCGAGGTGCACATCAGCGGCAGTGGGTCACACCAAATTCGCACTTTCATTTACACGCAGTCACGCCCTGGCCAGTGCGGCTCAGCTGGGTTGAGTGTCGTCCCACACACCAAAAGGTCGTGGGTTTGATTCCCAGTCAGGGCACGTACCTAGGTTGTAAGTTCGGTCCCCAGTCCAGATGCACACAAGAGGCAACCTATCAGTGTTTCTCTCCCTCCCGCCCCCTCTCAAATCAATTAGCATATCCTCAGGAAAGGATAAAATTAAAACATTTTTAAAAATGTACAAGCAGTCACGGACTCCTGCCCCCGCAAACCTCCCTACACACTTGCCTGAGCCCAGCTCCAAGCACTGTCTTCCCTGGACGCGTGTCAACAATTCTTTTCCTTTTTTTTCCCAAAAGATTTTATTTATTTTTAGAGAGGAAGGGAAGGAGAAAGAAGGAAAGATCAATGTGTGGTTGCTTGTCGTGCGTCACCAACTGGGGACCTGGCCCACAACCCAGGCATGTGACCTGACTGGGAATCGAACCGCTGACCCTTTGGTTTGAAAGCAGGTACTCAATCCATTCGGCCACACCAGCCGAGGTGGAATGTGTGTTTTTAACTGCACCGGCCGCATTTCAAGTGCTCGCTGGCTGCCGGTGGCTGGTGGCTGTCACACTGCCCGGCGCGGATGGAAGGCACGTCCATCACCGCGGAAGGCTGAGTTGCAGGCGCTGGCATAGACAGCCGGTGCCCACGCTGTCACGAGCTAGCCAAGTGCAAGTTCACGGAGCACACCCGGCCCCCAGCACAGACCTGACACAGCGGGTGTTTAAAAATTATTTATTGACAGAAAAATGACCCACTAAAACCCCGCTTAACCACCCCCTCACACACACACACACGGGCGCGCGCACACACACACACACACACACACACACACACGCTGTGACTGCACATCGGGTTTGTGTCACTGAAGCCACGTCCCGGGACCCTGTCCTGCCGGGGGGACAGGGTCTAGTAGAAGTCCTCCAGGTCGGAGTCTGCGTCCCCACCCTGCTGGTTCTGGATCTGACTCTGCTTCCTGTACAGACAGGCCACCTGGGGAGAGAGGGGCCGGTGGTCAGAGCCGGGGGCTGCCCGCCCGCCCGCCCACCGTCCGGGCCAGCGCCCACTTCCCCGGGAAGCGGGCCCCTCCCTGGGGCCTCACCTGGGCACTGGTGGTGGCCGTCTCCGGCTTCTTGTCTACACGGACGCGAAGAAACCGAGGGAAGCGAAGGGAGATGCCCTTCTCGCTGTCCACCTGGGGGGGCAGGGGGACGATGGGCACCTTTGGGGTCCCGCCCGTGGGCCTCAGGAACAACTCCCTGACCACGTCCCCCCCCCAGCTCCTGCACCTCTGGCCCCAATCTCTGATCCACACAGTGGGGCTCAGCAACAGGATTACAGAAGGGAGTCAAAACCTCGGGGCCGCCCCTGGCGTACGGGACGTGCCTGAGAAACGCCAGTTGGGACTGCGGTTATTAGTATTAGGGCCGAGGGGCACAACGGCAGAGTCAGGGTGTGGACCCTGGGACCTGACTGTGGGGTCAAGTCCCAGCTCCCAACCCCCAGGGGCATGAGACCCGCGGCCAGGTGCCGAAGCACCTGGGGCTCTACGTCCCCGCCATGGAACGGGGCTGCTCAGCGTTTCCATGGGGACAAGCGCCTGCTCCCTGGACGGCACCCGCCGCACAGGCCGCTCCATCACCAGTGAGCCGGGGACACCGACTTCAACGAGTGAGAAGATTCAAGAAAGAAATCCGATCCAAAACCCGAGTTCCACCTTTAGCGGGAACTTTAAATGGAAGTCTGCTTCTAACCAGAAACCTGTCTGTGTCAGGATCTGAAGGACCAGAAGGGGGCCCAACAGGAGTCCACTGATGAACGTGGGACCCCCGGTGCTCCTGAGGGGGTCCCGGGCGCCTGCCGCTGTGGCCGGGGGGTGGACGGAGCCGCCTGTGAGCGGAGGAATTTAAAACTTGGTGGCAGGCTGTGCCGTAAGCTTTTACTTAAAAGAACTCGTTTCAAAAATTACTTCAGGGCTGAGTGTGAGCCTATGATAGGAAACGGAGCCAGTTTACTGTTTTCTTTCTACTCCTGGGGCATTTCTTTTAAAAAAAACAAACAAAAACCACGAGACTTTCGACCCCATTATCTGACACCCAAATAAAACACAAGCTTGAGTTTTCCCGACATCACTCGGGAAGGGCGGACTCCGCCAGGCCCCCTCCCGACTGCGTCCCCTGGGAGGGGGTCCACCCCAGCCCCCGCCACTCACCAGCCCCCGGGCTGCAGGGTAGATGGGGGAGAGGGAGAGATCGGCGCACTTGACCTCCCACACGACTCGGGGCTCCAGCCAGTAGTCGGGGGCCACAGCACCGTCTGCCCGGACGTAGGAGCGTGGGGTGGGCAGCACCAGGACCTGCAGGAAGACAGGGTCTCGGGTCTCAGAGTCAAGGCCGAGGGCTGGGGGTTGGGAAGTGAAGCTGAGGTGGGGAAGCCAGGCAGACACACGGACACTAGAAGTAGAAGTCAGGGAAGGGGGGGGGGAGAGACGGGAGGGGATAGAAGTGAAAGACGGAGGCCCCGGGAGCTGAGACAAGAAATTAAAGAGTGACAGAGGCACAAAGCGGGACAGAGATTGGGGGGGGAGGGGGGAGAGAGCGAGCGAGAGCCAAAGAATGAACAGAAGCAGAACCAGAGACACGAGGCACAGAAAAGCACTCACAGCCGAACACCCCCAACCACACACACTCCCGGTGGGTAAGGGCTCAGCCCGCACCCCACAGACTGACTCGGGGAACCCCACAGCAGTGCCCTGCCCCACAACTGCCCCACCGCCACCGGGACGCGGCTGAGGCACTGAGCTCAAGGAGGCGAGGCTTCCCGACTGGTGTCGCTGGTCAGTGGCCGGGACAGCTGGGACCAGGACACACTAGGCTCCGCTGCCCACTGCCCTGTCTGCTCCCTGAGCCCCGTGCACACGGAGGGGGCGCCCGGACGGCTCACCTGGAGGGCCCGGTGGTGTATCTCCAGCTCCTCGTCACTGAAGCCGGTGCCCAGCTGCGGGAAGGACAGCGTGTCAGAGGCTGGGCGCTGCCTCCCGCTCCCGCTACGGAGGACCGCGATCCGCACATCGGCAGCCCCCGCCCCGCCCCGGCCTCACCGGCACCCACAGAAACCACTGAGGAAGGGCCGGGGTGCTGAGCAGACCCCAGACGGGGACCAAAGCTCAGGGCCGAGGTGCCCGCTCCTCCGCTCTCTCCCCCCAGCCCAGGAAATCACAGTATCGGCCCCCCGACATCCCACAGGCCCGTAACCAGTGTCATGGCCAACCTTAACGCTACTAAGAGTCTTCTTTTGCCCACTAACATAAAAGGCTAAGAAAATATTCCCCAATGCTGGCAAAAGAGCAAGATGAAGAACTGTTGTATTGGCAGCCGTACAATTTTCCCACCTTTTGCCCAGGCAACAGCTCTTGCAGAAAACTGTTCTAAGTAAATAACGTAACACGGTGACAGACTGGCAGCCACAGCTACTTGTGAACTGTAAAACCACTCCTACCACAGCCTGTGAGATAACACGCACTGCGCCGACCGATTGGTAAGAACAAGGCAGCGACGAGCACCACACAACCGCAGGGGCGGCTGGGAAATGGGCGGGGTCGGCCGAGACTCCCAGAGCATTCCCCCCTGGTTTGTAAAAGTCCTGAATGGCGGGTGAAGGCCCTCAAACACCCCTCGTCACTGCGACTCGGATGCATCTGATGGCACTGAAAACCCAGTACTTGTTGGGCAAGAGGCAGGAAACAGAATTACTTGTAGAGAAGGAACACAGTTTTGCAAAAATAAAGCATTCCCGCAAGCGACTAGGGGTTGCCTCTGGCAGTGGGATTGTGGGTGATATTCCGTTTCTGTGGCAAAGCCCAAAATTTGTTAGATCAGCAACGTGTGCAGCTTTCGACACAATGAAAAAAAACCCTACATTTCCCAGGCTCCCTTGCAGCAGGGCTGGGCTTCAGAGCAAGGTTCTGGCTGATGCAACTTAAACAGAAGTTGCTCACTGGCTAAGGCTGACCCGTTCTCTCTCTGCCCACGGGCCAAGCATGCACAGCCGTGATGGCTGGAGCTCCTGCAGCCACATTGTGCAGAAGAGGCCTGAAGCATGTGACAGAAACCCCTGTGGGGAAAGAAGCCTGGGTCCCTAATGACACCGAAGAGCTGCCTGCCCCCTTCTAAACATCTCATTACATGAGAGAAAAAGAAACCCCTCTCTCACGTAAGCCACCATTGTCCAAACTCAGTTCCTAAGTGACACAGCTTCCTCTCACCTTTCCATACTAGCCTGCTTTTCTATGTTTAGCAAGAGTTACCTTATAGGATCAGAAAAAGTAAAGAGAAACTAGAAAAAAGAAGTATCCATGGCAGGGAGGACTTGGGGGCGTGGAGTCGACCCTGCCTGCGCCTCAGCCTCGCACCCAGCACCTTGCATATGGCGTGCAGCTCCTCGCTCTCCGCGTCATAGCAGGCCAGCAGGAAGCCCCCGTAGCGGCCGGCCCGCTTCCCCCGGCCCAGGTAGGCGCCGATCACCACGAGATCCAGGGTGTCACCCACGCCGTCCAGGTAGTCCTTCTTCAGCTGGGAGGAGGAAGGCAGAGATGAGGGGGAACGTCACGTCATCGGTGGGCTGAGGAGAGACTGGGGTGAGTCTGAGGAGAATTTCCATAAAGGCGGCCGGGATGGCCGCTGTGAGAATGGACGTGGATGGGCTTCTAGGTTGAAGGAGCGGAAGGGAAAGAGCGACTGCAATGGGAAGAGCAGGTGCGACTGGGGACGGGCTGGACAGGGAGGCGGAGGGTCATCCTGGATCCCCCCTTCCCCTCGGTACGGAGACACGTTCCACTCACTCCTTCACACACAGGGCGTGTACGCATTCGTCCAAGAAACACTGACAAGTGCCAACAGTGTGCCAGGCAGGAGCTCAGCCTTGGGGACTCAGTGTCCACTTCCCAAGACAGGAAAGGCTCCTGCCCTCACAGCTACTTAGAGTCGGGGACGCCGGCCACAGACGACGCACCAGTGCACAGGGAGGCCCAGTCTGCAGGCCCGGCCAGCGCACTCCTGACCACCTCCCACCCTGGTCCTCTGGCTCCGCCTCGCGACACACCCCCACCGGCTGTTACCAGGCAACAGCCTCCTGCCCACAGGCTCCCGCTCCTGCCCAGCAGCCCCCACACCCCAAGGTCCACAGGGCGGCCAGAGGACCTGGCAAAATGACAGCCAGACCGTGGGCCTTCCTGCGGGACACCTCTGCTGCGTCCTGAAACCCTCAGAGGAAGATCCGGTTCTATTTCACTATTGCCTGCAACGCGCCAGGCCACCCGGGCCCTGCCCTCAGCTCGCAGCCCGACCGCCTGGCTCCCTGCGCACACGGAGCCCGCTCCCTGCGGCCCACCCGGCCTCGACGTCCGTCCGGTCTGCTCTGACCTCCACACGGCCGACCTTTCCCGACTCGAATGTCGCTTCTGGAGAGGCTTTTTCCAATTGCCCCCGCTGTCCCCAAGTTGACTGCTTCCTTCAGCGCTCACTCCTGTCTGACTTTATCTCCCTCGTGCCCGGGCTGACTCCCCTGCCCAACATGGGAGGCGGGCTCAGGGAGATGGACAGCCTCCTTTGGCTTTCCCACGGGGGCCTTCCCGGCACCCGGCTGGGGCCTTCTCAGCCAACCCCCAGAGAAGGCATTAATGAGGACTTGCAGAAGAGAAGACCCGAGGCTGGTTCAGGCCCTGGCTGGGCGGCTCAGTCAGTTGGAGCACTGTCCCGTGTGCCAGAAGGTTGTGGGTTTGGTTCCCAGTCAGGGCACGTAAGGGAAGCAACTGATCAGTGTTTCTCTCTCTCCCTTCCTCTCTCTAAAATCAATAAGCATATTTGTGGGTGGGGATTAAAAATAACCCCACTAATTAAAAAACAAATAAAAGGCCCATGAGCCCAGCCAGGGTGAAGTGTGGGGACTTGAAGTCGAGGGCCAGCTCAGGAAAGGCGTCCAGGGCACAGCGGGAAGGCTGGCGGGGGACAGAGTCACCTTGAGCCAGTTGTGCGACCTCTTGGCGATCTCGTAGGTGGCGTGGACATCCAGGGTCTTCACCATCAGCCCCTCGCAGGAGTCTGAAGGAGACACAGAGATGCGGCCCGTGGGACTCGGGGGCTCACGGTGGCTGGCGCAGGGGCAGGATTTGGGGAGAACCGTGCAGGGCAGGGCCAGGCTGGGATCGTGGCAGAGGGCAGGCAGGCACCGGCAGAGTGTGGCGGGGAGGGGAGGAAAGCAGGTGCCCTCACCCTTCACCGACTGCTCCAAGAACTCGGCGATCTGGTCCATGTCCTTGGTGTCCAGGGACGTGGCAAAGACGAACTCGCCCTCTGTCTCCACGAAGTTTTCCCGGAGCAGCTGCCGGCGTCGGGAGAGGGGCTCCCGTACCAGGGACTGAGGGGGCAGAGGGACAGGAGGGGTCATTGTGTGGAAAAGAGAAAAGACCCCGAAACAAGAAGCCTGGGGGCCGCAAGTCACAGGGAACTAAGGAAAGCCCCGAGAGGGAAGAGCCAGGCACACACACAGGCTCTGGGAACGGGAGGACCGGGCTGGCCTGTGCCAAGGGGGCCGGAGGCCATGTAGACCCTGGCGGCCTCAGGAATCAGGAGCCTGAGACAGGGAGGCAGGCTCTTGGAGCTTGGACGGTCTCCGGTAACTGAGACCGCTTCCTTTTTTAACACCAGTTGAATCGAGGCACCAAGAATCCACGATCATTATTAGGTTACAACACAGCCACACTCTGAAGGGGACCTTTTCTGTGCGAACGCACGGTCGGCAACCTTTCCCTACAGACAACCAAACTGTGCTGCACCCCCAGCTCCACAGGGGGCTCCAGCTCCACCGGAACTGCCCACTCTGCAGGTGCGGCGCGGGAAGCAGCTGAGCAGCGCAGCCGGCCTTCCAGACCTGCACTCGGGCGCTTCCCCACCCATCGTCCGGGCGAGATCTGAGGCCCAGCCATCAGCTGGGGTTGGTGTATGTGGAATGGGAAGCCCCGGGTGGTCTGACTCCGGAGTCTGCCCATAGCCTTCTGTGCAAAACATTCCCTGGGATAATTTTACAGCAGAAAAATGCTATTGATGGACAAGGCTACAGTGCCCATCAGGAGGGCAAGCAGGGAGAGCGGTTTAAAATCGCTGCGAGGCGGGAACTAAAGACCAGCCTGCTGGGCCTCAGGGGGGGAAGCACCGAGCACAGAGGGGACTGGGCAGGGGTCACAGGGACGTGACTACAGCCGCGGGAGGCGAACTCAGTCAACAAAGGGCTGATGGGGGAAATTGCCACATTAATGGTACAGTGTTAATATTCATACTGACATCAAAAGTCAGGAAACTTAAAAACATTAATTCACTTAAAAAATAATAAACCCAACATCAATCCAACCTTTTTGTGAAGTATGTCTATACCTTTTTAAAAAGTTAATGGCAAGAGGGTCACTATTTTACATTTCTGCCGTTCGTTAACGTCGGGCTTGGCTCAGGCTGGCTCCTCACGACTGCTCCTGCCCTTGGACAGCTGCACTACGAGAAGGGAACCCGCCCCTCGCAGCTGCGCAGTTGGACTGGGAGGACTGCACAGACCCCCTGCAGAGTCCCGGGGACCCCCTGCAGAGTCCCGGGGACCCCCACAAGTCCTGGGCCCAAACTTTGAGAACAGTTGCCCAGGTGTGGCCCCCAACTCAGCGGCGTGGCAGGGTGAGAAATGAAACCCACAGCGCTGGCCCCCACGCTTGCCCCTCACTGCGCGGGCAAGCGAAGCCGGACTCACCTCTCCATTGAGGTAGATGAGATCGAAGGCGTACAGACACACCTGCACCTGGATCTCCGCAGCATCCACCTCCTGGGTCGGGCAGAGGTGGGAAAAGGTGAGCCAGGGCCTGGTTGGGTCCCCTCCCATTGTGCCTGGGGCAGACACTTGTCACCTACCACTCTCCCCTGCACCCCACCTAACAGGCCGCACACCTGCGAGGGCGGCAATGCCCTCAGCCCCTGATGCTGAATTGGGACGGCTCTCAATGGAGCCCAGCCTCATTCCCTTTTGCCAGGGTGTTTGCTCTCCCAGCCTCCCTTGCAGCTAATGGGGGCGACACAATTCTGGCCAATGAGAATAAAGAATTTGCTGGGGTGCCTGCCTGTTGTGGGGCTCCTGGAACAGACAGTCTCTCACAATAAAACAGGTAGGAAATGTAGAGATGTAGGAAAACAGGTTCTTCCCCCTTTCTACTTGGCACACTGGGATAAGGACGCAATGGCTGGAGCTGTGGCAGCCATGTTGCAAAAGGCTGAGAAAACTGCACCCTGACACCCTTGTACCCTGACACTCTGACCCCCTGGGGAGTGGGCAGGACTGGGAGGAAGATGAGGGAGTGTGGGCCTCAGCAGGCAGTGGAGGGCGGCTGACACTACCTTGCGTTTGCGGGTGGTGAGCACTTGGAATGGCTGGATCTGTTTCTTTTCCCGGTCCCAAGCCACCGCCTCTGCATCCAGAATGAAAGACGTGACTGATGGGAGTTTTATCTGAAAGTGGAAGGGGACACAAGGGGCTGGTGAGAGGTGGAGGGCCCTGAGGCTAAAGGCAGACACAGGGGAACAACATCCTTTTCCTGTGGCCACTCCTGAGGTCCACAGCCAACTGGACACTGCACTCTGAGACGCCTGTGGACATACAGCCAACAACCCCCACCACAGCAAGCCGGCCTGGACAAGCCCCAGGGCTCTGCACCAGTGACTATGGCCCCTGTCGGGGGGGGGGGCGGAGTCGGGGGCGGCAGACACCCACCTTGGGGATGCGGCTGATGATGTCGGGGTACTTTCCAGTGTTGTCTTCCTGGTTCCTGCTGAAGATCTTCACCTCCCCGCCCTCCAAGAAATGGATCTTTGATAGTGGGGGGGTGGGAGAGGAGAAGAGAAAGTCAGAGCCCAGCGCACCCCAGGAAGCCCCTCCTTTCCTTCCAACCCCACTTTCAGTGGCAGGAGGCTCCAGAAGCTCTGGATGGAGGACAAGCTGGTTCAGAGGGCTGAGCAGACGGCTCCCTGTGAACAGCCCCTCCCACCCGCCGCCCCTCCTCCCCTCTCCAGTCAGCACAAGGGTCCTGCAAGGTTCATGTGTGTTGGTTTGTCGAGTATGTACATGCATGTTGATATGTGGATTTGCTATTTTACTGTCAATGCATTTACTTTACTACAGTCTGGCCGCTGTGTAGAGCTACATCCACGCCATCTTACATGCGTGTTTTTGCAAGAAATAATTACGTGGGTTATTACATACGCACAACTTAAAACACGTATGTAAATATACTCGAAATCACTGCCAGCCACTGTTGTAAATCGTTTGTTTCTGTTTTCTCGGCACCGTGCTCTGAGGGTCCGGCTGTGACACGGGGTCCGTGACACTGGGGCCACCCACGCCCCAGCAGCCAACAGGACAGCAGAGCCACACAGGCACCCACAGACCCGACAAGACGTCTGAGGTGCTGGGTCGGTCACAGGTCCCACGAGTGGGTCCCTGCGCCAGTGGTAACTCGGGTGCCGCTGCCCTGAACACACCCACCCCCCAGGGGCCCCAGCACAGCTGACAGTTCCTAAGCTCCCACTGCTGCGGGTCAGGAGTTTTGACGACTGGACCAACTAAAGCGGATTTTCGAATCAGCCAGTGAGGTGGCCGTCCTGGTGGCCCTTGCAGAGGTGGGAACTGAGCCCCAAGAGACGTGCAGGGCAAACAGGCAGTCAGTCCGCGGGGACCGGGGCTAAGCTGGAGGGACCGTCCCACGCAACTGCTTCCCTGGCCTTGACCTCTCCCCTGAAGGGCCGCGGCACCCGTACCTGGGCCCTCTGCCCGTCGTATTTGTACTCGCAGGTGAAGGCGGCCTCCTCGAAGCGTTTCAGGACCTCGCTGACGCCCCGGGTGGGGTGGGCCAACATCGGTTTCAGGGGGACCCCTGGGGGGAGGGCAGAGGGGGGTTAGAGAACCACCGACCATGCAGACTGCTAACTGCACACACAAGTGACGTGGGGAGGGTCTGGGCCACACCCTCACAGGGCACCAGCTGTCCCCTCTCACTTGACCTCAGCTCCACATCTAGGTGCCAGCCATCTGTAATCACAGGGTGACAGACAGCCTTGGGATGACAAAGTGACGGGACAAAAGAAACCTGGGGTGCGGGGGGATCCCAGAAGCACAGCTGACGGCCCTCCCCGCCACCTGCCTGCCCCCGGACTAGTGTGAGAGAAAGAGACCCCTCCAGCCCCACCCACTGCCCAGGCCCCGTGCCAGATCTGGGTCAGCGGGGGCTCAAAGGAGGAAAGGCATGGGCCTGAACACCAGGGACGAGACCCCACCTTGGTGGGTAGAGAAGATGCGGCCGGTTCCAAGGGGGTGCCCTCACAGCCACCCTGGGGGGCGGAAGCCCAGGCCAGGAGGAGGGAGGGGACCTGAAGGAGGGCCAGCCCTGGCTCCCACAGCCCCAAGACAGGCGTGCACAGGGTGAGGCTGCGGCCCGCCCCCCGAGGGGCCCAGGGGTGGCAGGTACCTGGACTCAGCCGGCAGTGCTCCGGCAGCCGCTCCAGGCCCTGCTCCAGCAGCACCGGGACGATCCGGTCCAGGTCGGGCACCTCACTGGGGGCGGGGGGCGGGGAGGAGGACCAGGCGTCTCCCCAGAGCCCGCACTCAGGCCTCCGGGAAACTGCTCTCTGCCTGCCAGCCCCACCCCTGCCTGGCCCTGGGGTCAGCTCCCACGCATCCCCGACTCGCCCCGTCACTTGGCCTCTGCGCCCTCTGTGCTGGCCCTCTCTCCATGTCACCGCCCCTCACTGCGACTCGATCGCCCTTGGTCTGAGCTGCCACCACCTGCCATCATCTCGAGGCCAGAGACTATCGCTGGGGCTACGTGTTAGAAGCAACCGAGGACATAAGAAAAGACAAAGTATTTCTTCCAGGCTCGGCTCCACCTCCCCGAGGCGCTGATGTAACTGGTCCAGGTGGGCCTGAGAGCAAGTCCGCGCCCCCTGCCCGGGCTCTGCGGTGCCTGGCCCCACCTGGGGCCAAGTGCAGGCCGGGTCCCTCCGCAAGGCTCTCCCTGGAGCCCTGTCACTGCACAGAAGTCCTGACCCCTCGCTGTACCTCGGCCACCAGCCCCTCCCCACGGCCTGTCCACGTGGCCAGTCCTATCTGCTGGTCTCTCCACACCCGAGTGACACCAACCCGCTCCTGTCTGCCGCCTTCCCGCCCTTCGTCACCTGCGCCAGTCTGGTCTAGATCACCACCTTGTGCTGTCACCAGCCCCATGGTGGTCACTGCTGCTTGCCAGCTGCCCCCTGCCCCCGCCACATCACCTAGGACCCCATGCCCCCCACACTGCCCCCACGGCCCCTCGGCCCCTCTGGCTCCCCCCGAGCCCGCAGATCTCACCAGAACGTCTGCTTCAGAATCATGCCCTGCTCTTCCAGCCAGGTCTTTCTGGCCTCGGCTGTCTTGCCCTTCCCAGCGTCCACCACGGCCGGGGGGAATTCTACGACAAGACCCAGGAGAGGCTGTGGGATGGCCCGACCCCCTCAGCCACCCCAGGGCCCACGGTGGGCTGTGCGGCAGACAGGGAACGCACACTCAGTGCCGGGGACACTTTCCTCAGGGAAGGCGTCCAGAGTGGCAGCGGGAGGCAGAGCCCCCTGGGGAAGGGGTGCGGGGGCTTCAGAGAGGAGAAGGGAAGCCCGGGTGAACTGAGGGGCAGGCACAGAGACCGTGCAAGGCTCACCTTGGCCTGGGGGCGTGAGGCTCACGGCCTGGGCGAGGGCGGCCAGCACCGACTGCTCCGCCAGCCCGAGGCGCAGCTGTCCACTCAGGGCTCTGGGGAGAGAGCAGGCGAGGGGCGGTGGGCGTGTCCACACGCGTGCAACCTTGCCCTCTCCGCCTCCTCCAGGCTCCCCCACCTCGACCCTTCGGAGACACTCTCCTCAAAACCAGAAGGACCTTCAGAGTCAGCAGGGGCCCAAGACATCACCCAGCCGCACTTAACAGCTAAGGAAACTGAGGCCAGCCAGTAACGACCACGACCACTGGCACTTCCGGGGGGGGGGGCTGAACAATGTGCCTCACAGGCATCTTCACCTGTCCTCTCACCTGAGAAAGTGGTGAGGCTGGGGAGGGGGCAGCGGGGCAGGACCAGCCTAGAGCCAGGACACAGCCCGCCCCAGCGGAGCCCAAGGCTGTGACAGTCAGGGATCTGTCACAGGCAGAGGCCATGCTCTGAGCCAGTGACCTCGAGAGGGAGTCTTGACCTGCCGGTGCCTCAACCGCCCCATCCGTAAACTGGGCGAAGACAACAGGGCCCCTCAGAGCTGCAGGAGGCACTGATGGGGTGAAGCACGTGGCCTGGGGCAGAGCACCCAAGAAATGCTCCGGGATGTCCATGGCGGTATTTTACTGTCATGGCAACCACGGGGCACCATGCAGCACTTCCGGGCTCAGGCCAAGGCAGACATCACCAATCAATCACAGCACCTTCCCCCAGTAGGATTGCCAAGGGGAGGGGCCAGCCCATGAAGGAGACTTGTGTCCCGTTTCACCAGCAGAGCCTGGCCCCTCGCTCATGCTGCTCTCACCTGAGGGGCTCCAGGCACTAGCAGTGGTCCTGGCTGCCCATCCCGCCCACTCCCCTCTCTCCCCACCATCCAGGCCCGTGTACTTACCTGGCGATGTACCGGGCTTCTGAGTGGCGGCAGGCCACAAAGAGGCCTTTGATGATGTCTATCTTCTTGGCTGTGGACTGACGAGGTGGGGGAAGCGCAGTCAGGGCCTCGGGGTGAAGGGAAGGGACCACACCTCCTCCCGGCCACCCAGCTGCCTGGGGAGCTGCTGCCCTTGGAATGCCTGCCCCCACACTGCACCCACTTCCCAGCCCCCCAGCCCCATGTTCAGCAGACAGGACCTACCCCCTTCCTGCCTCCCCCCTCCCTGGCTTCACTCAGCAAATAACTCTAGAGTCTCGTCACACAGTGGGCACGAGGTGGAATGCCAGAAAGTCAAGAGGAGGTCCCCTGTCTCCAGTGCAAAGGAAAGGCAGTTCCGCTCCCTCATAGAACGGAAACAGCCCAGCCCCCAACAGTCTAACCGGCAGCCGGCATGCTGCAGGCACAGCCTCGCGACCCCAAGGCGAAGAGCAGAGGGTCTGGGGTCCTGGAGCGAGCCCCCCGCCGCACTCACAGCGCTGCCAGTGAGCCGGGCGATGTCTCGGAACCTGGCGAAGACCCCGGAGGCGGTGAGGGCGGGCGGGGGCAGCATGAGCCTCTGGGTGCTGCGGCTGTTCTCGGCCACCAGCCCCACGTCGCCCTTCTCCGCTGCCTCAGCCCGGACAGACTCAAGCTGCCGCCCTAGGGGGGCAGAGGGGGAGCAGCAGGGTAAGGCGTGCGGGGGCGTGTCCACTCTCTCTGGCAGCTTGGACGTGCTTTCTTCAGCCTCGTGCGTTTGCTGCAAGCCCCCGACCGCCCCGCCCCTAACGCCCACCCACTTGTTGAAACGCTTGTTAAACACTGGTCTCCCGCTGCACGGGTTGTAACGGGCCTCTTAGCGGTCACAGGGGTGAGGCCAGTGGCTGGATGAGCACGTCTGCACTAGGGGAGACGCCCAGTGTTGGTGTGCAGACGGGATCCAAAGCCACGGGGTGGGTGGAGGTCACTGGGGAGCACGTGCAGACAGAGAAGGTGGCCAAGGCACCCTTCGCCTGCCCCCTAGTTGGTTGCAAACGCCCTCTGGCAGTGACAAATAGGCCTTCGCTTTCTGAATTGCTGTCGTTAACTCTTAACTTTTTGAAGACACCTATTTAAAAACACCGCACGTGTCCTGGCCTTACTCGTCGTCCAGACTGGGCCCCACGGGCACCCCTCGCTATTAAGAGCAAGGGGCTGGGGAAATGGAAACTCGCGTTGTCACGACAGCCGTGACCAGCGGTGCTCGGGCCATCGGCACCGCCCGTTCCTCCTCCCCGCAATGTGCGAGGCTGAGGGTAGGCAGCTGCCCAGCAGCGCCACAGGCCTCGGCCACCCGGCCCTCCTGTGCTCCGTCCTTAGCGCTAAGGTGCTTAGTGTCACTCTTTTCTATCCTGACAAGAAATGCAGAGGTGTCATAACCCACTGCCGCTGTCACTGACGTTAACTCACACAGGGAGCGAGGGAAAGGAATTCCCTCTGGCTGCCGGGCTGCTGCACCGGCGGACGGGCGGACGTCAGCAGACAGCGAAGAGTGGTCGGGCCTCGCGCCTGTTGGTGGAATCGGGGGCGGCGCCAATTGCGAACCTTCAGTTACGTGCGCCGCGCACATGTGCACTGTCCACGGTAACAGCATTTCCGAAACGCTGACCCGCTCTCAACAAGCCTGCGGCAGGGCAGCCTTGGGCCAAGGGGACGCCTGAGCGTGAGCGCTGCGTGAGCGCTGCGTGAGCGCTGCGTGAGCGCTGCGTGAGCGCTGCGGGCGGGGTTCCCCACTTCCGGGCGGCCCCAGACACAGGCGGAAGCGGCGCACTTCCCCCAAATGGGTCTGTCCCTCTCCCGTGTCCTGTCCAGGTGGTGGCCCCACGATCCACCAAGTTGTCAGGCCAGATGCCCCGACCCCCAGGGCCCAGCGGGTCCCTCTTGCTGGTGTCTCTCTCCACTCCTGTCCTCGCCTCTGCTCCCAGCAGTCCAGCCTCCTCCCTGGACCCCGAGTTTCCCTTCCACTCTCCACACAGGCTCAGAACGGCCCCTGCCCCTCGCCTGCTCACAGTCCTTCCGTGGTTCCCCCACTCCCTTGCAGCAAACACCAAGCACTGGCCGCTCTTGGCAGGCACACCAGCCCCCGGAACACATCACCAGCCTCTCCGTAAGCACTGGGGTTCAGCCCCTGCAGGCTCCCAGCTCCACACACACCCCTCTCTTTCCTCATCTCCCCCGGACCCCTCCTGGCTCTACTGCTCAGTCCCTTAGGACCCCGACTCTCCCCCTTAAGCCCCGCCCCTAAATCCTGCGCTCTGCCCCCAGGCCCTCCTCTCCATTCACAGGGCCTGCCTCAGTACAGGCCCGGCCCCCCCTCACCTGGCCCACCGCCCCCTATACCCCCACTGCTCGGTCCCGCCAGGCCCTCCTCCCTCACTGGCTTGTCTCTCTTCTGAGTCCTTCTCCATCACCTCAGACCCCCCCCAACCTTGCCGCTTTCTCCAAGCTCCCCTCCTGTCAGAACTTCTGCCATGGCCCCTCCTTACCTGTGGCCTGGGCCACTGCCTTGAGAAGGACACCGTCCCCAACGCCAAGCTCCAGGCCCTGCTGGGGTGGCCCGAGGCAGTTGAGACTGAGGTAGAGGATGGGGAGGAGGTCTGGAGGGGACAGGGCCACCACGGAGCGAAGCAAGTTGCTCAGCGTCTCCACCATCCGGAGCCTGGAGAAGGGGAGCGACTGCCAGGCAAGGGACAAAGGCGCATGGCACCCGCCCCCGGCCAGGCCGCCTGATGAATTACCGAGCAGAAACCTCCTCGATCTTCTCGAATGTCCGGGCCACAGCCAGATAAGGGACCCTGGGGAAGGAGAGGAGATGCAGAGCAGCGTGTATAACACGCACCCACCCCCCCAACCCGCCTGCCTCCCCACGCCTCCCCGGGGCGGCCTTGCTGATGCCCAGATGCACCCTGGGTAATCCCGCTGGCCCCCCAGGGTTTTCGTTCTGTCCCCGAAACACAGAGACACTTGACAGCGTCATCCAACTGAGGACCCTGAGAAAGCCCCCCAAGGTGACAGGGCCGTGCGGGGAGGGAGAGGCCTCACTTCTGGCCCTGCTTCCAGCAGGCGTCGTGCACAGGGTGGTAGCTGTTCTTGGCAGGGTTGTAGCTGCCTGGGTCCAGCGGGCTGTGGGGGCGAAAGGGAGAGCAGGCTGGGTAGGCGGCCGGGCCCCAGGGAACCATTCCTCCAACGAGGGGCCAGGCACTGTTGTAGGCCCAGGTGTAAATGAAAATAAAGTTTGCTAACCTGGAGCTCACATCCGAGTGGGCAAGTCTGGGGAGGGAAACATATAAACAAATAGTGTTAGATGTTTAAAAGAATATTTCAGAAAGCAAACTAAAACCAAGTAGAGGGACAAAGCTGGGTGGCGGGTGCAACGTCAGAGGGTGGCTGGGAAGGGGCGAGGGAAGACGCCGGGAGAGGCAGATCAGCACGAGGGGTGAGCGGAGTGCCTCCAGGGAAAAGAGCATTCCGGGCAGAGGACCGGCAGGTGCAAAGGCCCTGAGGTGGGGACACGGCCGATGTGACCGGGGAGCAGAAAAGGGGCCGGCGTGGCTCTGGTGGTGCAGCAGGACCTGAATGTGTTTTGCAGTCTGCTCTGAGAGGCCCAGACGGTCCTGGGCCGCTCAGCCAGCGCCCCTCACTGACCCTGGGAGGGCAGCGCAAAGTCCCTGGATGCCACAGAGTGCCAGGCACCATGCTGCGAGTGCTACAGCCGTCAGGAGTGGGCCCGGCAGGTGAGGTGCTGCTGTGTTTCCAGATGGGTCACACCCCCAGCTGCATGGCTAGGAAGCGGCAGGACCCCGGAAACGGCTCTGAACCTCTACAGCACTGAAGCCTCGCACCGACCCCGCCAGAGCCACCACAGCCTGGACCGCAGTCAGACCACTCGGGGTTCAACCCCCTGGTGCATCACTGACCCACTGTGCCCACCTGTCCCCATCCCCAGACCCTCCGCACAAGGAAGCCACCAAGAGTCCTACGGCGACAGGTTGTCATGAGGGGGAAGGAAGAAACGAGGAAGGGGGTTCCCACCCCTCGGTGCATCGTGTGGGGGCATTTTAAACACAACGCTGACTCTGCAGCCTCAGGCCCGTATCTATACAAAACCGGGGGACTGAAGGGTGCACAGGACTCGGGACTTCCGCTTTCCGGCCAGTCCGTATGCAGGCAGGGCTGTGGAAGGCTGAGGGGACGAACAGGCGCAGGGCCGTGCTCAGGGAGTCGTGCTGGCTGGGCATTTAATGAGCAGCGGCTGTTCCGGTTGCTTCTACTGTTTTACAACAGGAAGCAGCAGAGCACGATGGGTAAGAAATTCTACAGCCAGACTGCCTGGCTCACTCCCTGTCTGCACCCTAGGCAAGGCACTAACGTCAGTAACAACAATAATAATGATGATAATAGTAGCAGCAGCAGCTACCAACTTGCTGAGCTTGGCCAGAGCCGAACTTTGGTCTAAATGCTTCAAACCCTCAGGAGACCGACACAGAAAGGCTAAGTCGCTCCCCTGAGGCCACACAGCTGGCAAAGGCGGAGCTGGGACTTCTCACCGCTCCACGTACTGTCCTGCCTCCACGCCTGCCTTCCTCATCTGCGAAATGGGAAAGCAGCAGAACCTACACACAGTGGTGCCGCAGGCCACACTGCCCAGCGCCTGGGACGCCGTCTACTGTGATGCTTTCTGTCATGGATACGACCCCATTTCCAGGACGCCAACCTAACCTCTCCAGACTAAGCGTGCCAACCAATGCCTGCAAAATGGCCAAGATACCCGCTTCCTCCGGGGGAGTCCTGCAGAGATGAGAGAAGGCTCTGGCGCCGTGCCCGACCCAGTGAGTGCTCCAGAAAAGCGGGGGACCGTTCCCCCCGAGCAGCCACATGTTGGCACGATGCCATTTCATCTCGCTGAGAAGGGCTCAGCTGGGGCGCAAAACTGACGTTAAGAATCCTCAAAACATGTTTTATTTTGTATAATTAAAGCTGAAAACTTTCTATGATTATCTGTCTCCTGTTTTGGAAGCCTACCATAAGGTCCGGGAGACCTGGGACTTACCGCACAGTTCTTTCTAACCTGCTGTGCTCTCTACTCAGCGGCTGACACTGACTCACCCCTGGGGCTCCTCCTTTCTTGGGGTGCCAGGCTTGGCTTCCTTCACTTCCTTTTTGCCTGCAGGCTTCCGGGGGGCTGGGGAGGAAGCCAAGAGAGATGACTTTCTAACTCGCAGGAAGGCCGATGGATTCGCAGCTCTCTGTGGAGGAAAGACCCACCCGCGTCCCCCCTGCGCCACCCAGGGGACGTGAGGCGGGAGGAGAAACTCACTGAAGAAACTGCTGAGCGTCTTGGGAGCTCTGGGGGGCGGCTTTGCCGGGTCCTCGTCCTGGGCCTCGGGGTCCGAACTGCTCTCTGGCGGGGCCTCTGCTTGTAAGGTGAGAGAGGTCAGACAGGGCCAACGCAAACTCTGTCCACCCTGAGCCTTTTTACTCTTTAACCGCACGGTTACTCCGACCCTATAAAGGGAGAACCCAGCCAGCTCTGCCCTTTTCCCCTGCCCAGCAGAGTGCTGAGACTGATGCTTTTCTGTCGGTGCCAACTCATGCAACTCCAGCCTTTGGCCTGAAACCAGAGGCTTGGGAAGGTGGTAAAAAGACACCTCAGACAAGGAGAAGAAGACGCCCCACTGCTGCAGCTGCAGAATGTCAGGTAGCCCGCTCTGTAGCCTAGAAAGGGCCCCCCACAGCACTGCTCCTGCCACAGGGGCCTCACGGGCTGCAGACAGAGGGGCCGGTTCTAGGGCTTGAGGGCGATGCTAACCTCTAAAATCCCGCAACGGGGGCTGGCTGCCTAACTTAAAAACTAATGGCTCTATCCGTTACACTTGGTACCTGGGATTTCTGAAAGCTGTATTTTGTTGGACAATGACTGGCTCTTTGCTTTTGTTTTCTTGAATCCATGCAAAAAAATAACAATAACTAAACCTAGAATTCCCCAGAATTCACACGTAACAGTGCGTTTGAGAATCTATGTCTCGTTTCCATGAGTTGTCCTCCAGACGCCAGACGCCCAAAACCGGAGATAGGGCAGTAGCGGGAGAGGACTCGAAACTCACTGCAGGTGTCCTGGGGCTCAGAGGAAGTCATCAGCGGGCCCTCCTCATCTGCTTCCTTCTCTTTGGCCCCTTCTGGCTCTGAGAGATGTTCTCCCAGGCTCTCTGCTTCTGATGACACACAGAGAACCGAGATGTAAAATATCACTTTGACCTCCACAGACATTTCTACTCCCGAGACACTTAGGCCAGTTTGTTCTCTTCTGAGCCAATCAGGTGTGTCTGCAAACTGAGGAGAGGTGGGGCCTGGGAGGGAACCCGCCCCCACAGTTCACCTGTGCAGAGGAGCAAAGCTAGTCTTTACTTACAAGCTATTAGTTTTGAATTATTCACCACAGAGTTAGAGTTGTATATGATAATGCGTTATAAATTAAAATAACAAGTTTTAAAACTGGAAAAAAGTCATACCTCCAGGTTAACAATAAAAATTGCATAAACTTAGAAAAAATTTATCTTCATAGAAAGAAGCCTCCCATACCCCTTGACACTCACAATTTATAGTAAAATTTGTTACTGACAAAAAATTGCCAAAGAAATTTTGACCAAATTCCAATCTTTCCTGGGAAAGATGAGCCGAATAAAAAGACCTTTATGGCTCTCCCACAGGTCACTAAAATGCAGGTGACCATGAGCTCCATGCCGTATAAACTACTAGGTCGGGGTATCTCAGTTTGCGGTATCGGTTCACGTTCCTTGCAGTGTCTGACGTTATATTTCTGCAAAGCCGGACTTTCACTGGTTGCTGGGACACAAACCAAGTACTGCAGCCCTGGCTGGTGTGGCTCAGTGGATTGAGTGTGGGCTGGGAACCAAAGGGCTGCCAGTTCCATTCCCAGTCAAGGCACAGGCCTGGGTTGCAGGCCAGGTCCCCAATGGGGGGTTACTCGGGAGGCAACCACACACTGATGTTTCTCTCCCTCTCTTTCTCCTTCCCTTTCTCTCTCTCTAAAATAAATAAATAAAATCTTAAAAAAACAAAAACCAAGTACTGCACAAACACCAGCATGGGACAGGAAACAGGAAATGAGGGCGGCCGTCTGCAACTGGACTCGTCTGAGAGACGGTGCAGCATCCCCGAGACATCCTATGAGCAGGTCATGGTCATTATTCCAGAAGCAAATAACAATATTACTTTTCCTCTCCATGTATGTGCATTACTTTCCTCAAGGGCCCAAGCTCCTAGAACGTCAATAGTTGTTTGGATGCCACTAGTTAATAAACGGAACGGGTGCGGAACTGGCCCGTGGGCACCAGGAAAAGCTGGAAAAGTGACTGAGGCGCTGAGGCAAAATTTATAAAAGAAACCATTTAGAGAAACGTATTTTTCCAAAGAGTAAAGATACAAATGGAAAACTAAATTGAGATGAACGACTGTCTCCCCAATGCTCTCCTAACAAAAATCCCTGGGTGCTGCGGGGGTTCTGAGAGATGCATTTAGGGTCACGGACACAGGCCTCCATCAGTGGGGTCCCAACACCCGTCCTCTCAGGCCCCGCCCTTCCAGAATCCACACGTACGTGCGCACACACACACACCCCTCTCCTCCTGGTGCCTCACCTTCTTCCTCCCTCTTCCTCTTTCTCTCGAGTTCCATCCTCCTGTTGTGGTCGTCTACGATCTCCTGAATCGTCCGTGTAGAAAGCTGCTTCCGAGCTGGGGAGGCAAAAGCCGAGGTGTGACTGCCTCGCCAGGCCCATCCGCCCCAACCTCAGGGAGCTCAGCACCACGCCTGCCCCTCTACCCATCATGAGGGCCGCCCCCCCCCCCAAAAGGCGTCGGGCCCCCTCCCTTCTCCTCCTGCCCACAGATGCCGCCCAGCACAGGCCTTGCCCTTCAAGCTCTGCTGCCTCCTGGCGGTGTGACCACGAGCAGGTCTGTGCCACCCTCTCCCACAACGGCAGAGACCACCTAAACAGTGAGCACTGACACCGCGGGCTGAGCCTGGCCCCGACCGGATGCCTGGGATCCACCACCTCCGTGTGTCGTGGACAGGTTTTCCAGAACCTCAGGAGCCCGGAAGCAGCAGGGAATCAACAGGCCCCGGGAGTTCCTCTCACCCAGTGACTCTGGGGTGCTGGCGTACAAGAACCCCAGGTCCTTGGACTTCCAGCAGCTAATTCTGAACATGTAAGTGGGCCCATTCCCAGGGCTGCCCCAAGAAAGGGGAGCTCCAGCTGCCCTCTGCGGCAGGTGATCTAAGGACACGTCTTTTACTGGCCGACTCTCCTTCCGAGTCTGTCTGTCTTTTCCGCACCTCCCGCCTCCCCAAGATCCGGTGTGTACTTGAATCCTTGTGTCTGAGCTCCAGAGCCTATTTCTAGAAGATTCTAAGTTGAGATCCTAACTCACGGTGAAGAAGACGCAGCTGAATGATTTTCATCAACTCTCACCTTCTCCCCGGTCTCTTGGCTCCTTCCCACGACAGAGCAGGGCCTTCCGTCGGCGCGGCTGGAACTGTCTCTCCCCTGCTCAAAAGCCGCCCCCATTTCCCCACCCCCACCCGCACTGCAGGATAAAGTCTGAGTGGCCACTGCATCTCACCATCCTACCTAATCTCTCTCCACCTGACCTTCGAACTTCCCACGCCACATAATCCACTTCCTCTCCACCATCACTGAATTGCCACGGTCCCCAAACACACCACGCTGTCACGCTCTGGGCCTCTGCACATGCTGTTCTCTATAGCGGCCATCTGGGACAAAGCTCAAGTGTCGCTTCCTCTAAAATGAGTCCCCTGCTACAGCCTTGAGCCACTTGCTATCTTACTACGATAGGTAGTAAGACCCGCAGGTTTGACCCAGCAGGTCTGACCTAGCCTCCCCCCCACCCCCCAGCTCACAGGAGCCCCCGCAGGACAGACCCCAGGCTCCTTGCAAGGCACTTCCTGCTGCAAGGCCCTCTGGGAGCCAGCACCTGCTCTCCTCCCTGGCTCATCCCCCCCACACACACATCCTCAGTCTCCCTGCTCCGCAAACTGCACTGTCCTCTCCAGAAACACAGAACTGTGTGGACTCTGCAGACACGCCAGGCTGCTGCACCTGTGGGCTCCGCACGGCCGCTTTGGCAGCAACACCTCCCACTGCCCTTCCTCAGCTCAGCAAACCCGACCCGTCCCCCAGGTCACGTGCTCTGGGCTGGCTCCACTTTGGGCTCCCACAGCGCCCTTGTCGCCACGGTCATTTCTCGTGCCACACCATCCAGTGGACATATGTGGCGGGCCACCCACCTCCTCTTAGACTTTCTAGTACCCACTTGAAAAGAGGGGAAACACAGGTGAATTGCATTCCCTACCCCAAGTCACACAGCCAGGGGATGGTGGAGCTCGGCTCTTAACCACACGCTGAGATCAGAGCTGCCAGGGGGACGGCCGCCTAGGGCAGAGATCCGAGTGGGGACAAGGATAGGCAGCTGCAAGGACAGGGCCCGTGTGTCCGCACCTGTGATACGCTTCGGGATGCCCGACAGGGACATGAGCGGTCCAGACGTGCTGGAGAGGGAAGGGCTGCTCTCAGGAACCGTGACGGGACTGGGGGAGGAGGCTGGTGGGGAATCGGTAGCAGGCTTCTGGAAGGGGAAAGAAAGAGTGATTACAGTGAGGGGAGGTGGGGAGCACCCAGCTCTCTCATTTCCCAGGCAGCTGAGAGTGGAGAGGAATTCCCGCCTTCTCTCCGTGCCTCCTCGCCACTCCATGCCCCGGTCCCAGCCCGAGCTCAAGCCGAGGTCTCTCTTACCAGGGCCCTGGACTCTCCCCATCACGGACACCAGTAACCACTCTCTTTCTTGTCAAGTAACAGGATCTCTGATTTTTAGCCGGGCATATCACGGGCCCCTGAAGACGCTTCCCAGCCTCCTTTGCAGCTCGTGTGGCTGAGACCCCAGTTCTACCCAACGCAATGTGGAGGGAAATAATTACAGACACTTCCCTTGGCTCATTCCCTTGGTGGAAAGTGCAGTGCCCTCTCCTTCCCAGTGTGGATACTCACTCCGACCAGAGCATCCGGGCACAGCAGGTAACAGTAGGGAAGCAGCCTCACTCTTAGTGTGACTTTGCTGCCCATGAGAGAGAGAGATTGCTCCCTCACTTAAGCCACTGTTACTCCTGCCTTGGTTTCAACTACGAACTCATCTTCTTGCAGGACCCTGTGGCGGTAACCAAGCAACTGCCTTCCGCTCCCATCCGCTCTCCCCTGTGATGCTGGGACTCTGCAGAGGCCTTTCCCACGCTGTGTTGGGGACGTTGGTGCAGGGGGCCCGAGGGCACTGTGTGAGCTGGACCCGGCTCCAAGTTGTTTGCAGTGCTTGCTGGGCCTGACACGTGGTGCCCCAAAGACACCGGCTGCCTCCACCCAGTGCCCCTTCCTCGAAGATCCCAGCCCCAGGCCCACAGGGCACCTCCTCTAAGCTCCGAGGCCCCAGCACCCAGCCGCCAGCATCTCCACCAGGAAGGTCTGAATTTTAGCTCCACAGCCCGAAGGGCGGGAGCTGCACCCTGCAGTGGCAACCTCGCGATGACTTAGAGTTCTCTCTTCACCCCTAGTTAGTAAGTGCACCCCAGCTGACAATTCCTGATATTAAACTCCCTCTCTCGTTCCAAGCCAGTCACGTGATTTCTGTCTCCTATTTGGACCCTAATGGACACGGTCCCCAAAGGGATGTTTCAAACGCTGTCCCTCTCCTGCTCGAAACCTTTCCATGGCTCCCTGGCAGCCCCAGGGCCAAGTTCAAGCTCCTGCAGATGCCCCTGTCCTCCTGCCCGGGATCTGTGAATGTATCATCATACAGCAAAGGGCAGTTCAGGCTCCGGAGGGATTAAGGTTGTTAATCAGCTGCTCTTAGGACAGGGAGGTGGTCCTGGATTGCCCAGGTGGGCCCAGGACCACCAGAGGGGCCCAAGAAGTGGACAGGGAGGCAGGACAGAGGTGTGACCACAGGGGAAAGGCAGGGCTGCTCTCTCTGCAAACGGCGAGACGGTGGACAGGGCGGGGGAATGGAGTCTGCCCTCAAGCCCCAGAAACGCAGCCCTGCCCACACCTGGATCTCAGCCCAGGGACATCAGAACTGTGACCTAATCACTTAGGTGATCTTTAGCTTCTAAGTCTGCGGCGCATCGTTATGGCAGCAAATGGGACACAAACACAAGTGATCAGGGGAGGTGTCATTGGGGTGACAGTTGAGCAAAGCCCTGAAGAAAGTGAGGGGTTGACTGGGCCCCACGTGTGACCTGGAGGAAGAGCTGGGGGAGAGGAGGAAGCGGGGGCTCCCCAAGGGCCTTGTGCCTGTAAGGACCAGCGCTGGCCTGAGCTGCCAACACCAGGGCCTTCGAGCGGGAGGGAGGCAGGGTCTGACTTCGCCACCGACAGACTGAGAAACACAGCACGTTGGACGTCACCCACAGGGCAACGCACAGGGACTAAGTGACTTTTACACAAGAGAAGGGAATGGGGGGGGGGCACGCAGATGACTCGCTGCCTGCTAACGGCAGAGACTGGAGCGTCTCTGAGCCCTTCCTTTACATCACGCGTTACTCTCAGACCTGCCTGTGGGCTGACATCTGTCATCTCCACGGCAGCCCTGGGAGGCAGGTGCCACTGTGAGCTGCAGGTCCCAGCTCTGAGGCGGAGTCAGGGCCACGCAGTCCTGGCCGACTGCTCCAAGGCAGAGCCACGAAACCCTTCCGCCTCCTGGGGCATGTTTCCAGAGTCCCACTGAGCCGCTGCTGCCCTCGGTTCCAAAGGCTAATGGGAATTACGGTTTCTTCCAGTAAACATGGACAGGCTGATGGGGACCCACCTGGCCTTTGGGGTTCGTGACGGCTTCGTCCTCCTCCTCCCCTTCGCTGCACAGGACCCGGGCTGCCCTCCGCCCCGGCCTCTTCACTGGAGACTCGCTCTCCGGCACCGCTCTGTTCCGCTCCTTCAGCGCCACCCTAGCAGGTGGGGAAATGGGGGTGTTCCAGCGGGCAGGGCGTTTTGGCCGAACACTCCAGCTCCTTCACTGTGTTCTATTTCCTTCCTTTTCTTGCACAGAACATTCTCTAGGGGCCTCCTAAGCACTCCTACGTGCCCACGCTAGGATGGGTGATGCTGGGAGCAGGTGGAGCCCCAACTCAGGGCAGAGGCGGGGCTCCAACATCCATCTGGAAACCCTTTCTTTTAGTCACACAAGCCCCTGAGTTGTAGCCAGGTACATGGTCCCTCAACTAGGGACTACATTTCCCAGCCTCCCCTGCTGCTAGGTATCACCCTGTAGGGAGTTCTGACCAATAGGAGCCACTGCTTGTCCTCAGGTTCTGTTAGAAAAACCTGGGTCCCAGGACAACCTACTAGTACAGAGCGGCCTCCCTGCCCCGTGCAGCCCACATACTCCCCTGACAATGGCTCTGAGGAGCGTCCTGGTGAAGGACACAGGCAGAGACTGTCAAAATACAGTGCAGTGTGGACGTGGTTTAAGGCGCTGATTCCGACAGGTGCCTGCACTCCTGGGCACCATCAAAAAGAATGAAGTGGGTTGATACAAAGCTTCGTGAGAAAGGGCTTTAAAAGACATTTTTGGTGAGGAAAAAAGCAGGTAATCAACGCTATGAGGAACTGCAACTGATTGCAATCGATATTCACTGCTAAAACCATACCACCTGGAACAGCGCCTGACGCAGAGAAAATACTCAACAGATGTTTAGTGAATATTTAGTGACATGAAGATGTATGAGTCCATGGGTATAAAAAATACATATGCTTGCCAATTTGTATCTGCAACTTGCATATATAATAACCTAGCTTTTGTTATTTAAAAATAAAGGAGTATATCTCTCAGTATCTGGTATGTATCAGGCCTGTGCCAGCTCCCTGAGACAGAATAGCGGCCAAAATTACAGTCTCGCTGCGCAATATACAAGTATGGGAAACACTCACCCAACACACATTTATGCGGCACCTATTACGTGTTAGGTACACGCATATTTATAGGCATGTTAAAAAGGACACGTTGGAAATGGTAAACGTAGTTCCTCTAGACAGTGACTCCCGGAAAGACTTCCAAGTGTTCACTTTACCTACCTCTCTGGGTTGACATACTAACAATTCCGTGAGTAATTCTACACAGGGGAACCCATGCTAGAGGAAGAACGTGTACCCGAGCACAGGGGACACACACAGAGACCACTGCAGCACGGGCTGGCTCAGCCGCGATTTGGGGACAACCTGGATTTCCACCAGCAGGAAGATGCTAATAAAACGAAGCACCAGGCAGGAGGCAAAAAGGATAAGACGGTCCTCTGTGATCACAAATGGGAATCTCTGAATCATAACGCTGCTAAAGAAAGCAAGCTGAGGGACAATACACACAGCACAGTATTCTTTAAAAAATGAAACTAGAGCACAGAAAACCACATATGCACATACAATACATACATAGCAGCGCACACACAGAAGGGGCAGATCTTCCAAGGATTGGGAGCGTTGGAAAAAAGTATGACTTCATTATCACCGCTCACCGAGCCAGTAAGTGAATGAACCGAGCACTGGCCCACCAGCTGCACACACGTGAATTCACTGAACCCACGTAGACAGCCCGACAGAGGCTTCAATACCGATTACACGCCAGCAAACTGGGATGCAGGAAGTGAGAGTACTTGCGCAGGGTGGGAATGAAAACTAGGTTGAGTCCGTGCTGGGGCAAACTGATGGGTACAGGGGTGATCATGTGACCCAAGCAGGGCTCTTCCCATGAACTCGAGAAGTAGGTGCTTTGAGGAGAGAACATTACTCTCTTCTCCTTAGATGAGTTGGCATGGAAATGTGGCCAGTGGGTAGCTTCTCTACCTCTTGGAGAAGGTCAGCTCTAGAAGGAAGGCAAGATGCCTGAGGCAGAGCCCTGAAGACAACTCTGAGGCCCTGGATACAGCTGTGCCTGAAGCTGGGAATACCACTGCACCTCCCAGTTACTGAAGGCAGAAATTGCCTTCAAACTCCTGAGACATTCCAAGCTGAGTTTGTAATACTTGCAGCCAAGAGAGTCGCGCCTGAATAAAGGAACAAATTCACCACACCCCAGCCCCATTACATACTTTGGAGGGGGGTCCATCTCTCGGATGCTGTCGGATGCCTCCTCTGGCTTCTTTGCTTTGCCCTCTTTCTTGGGTTGAAAAAATGACCTGCAGGAGGGCAGGAGCGGGGAAGGGGGATGAGAACAGCACTGATAACCCCTCTGATCCCTCATTTTCTCTATGGCTTCTGACACCAGTTCCCATCCTAGCACGGAACAGAGGTCGACCGACCCCCTTTGACAAGGAAACAGAAGCTCAGACAGAGGAGGTGACACTCTGCTCATTTTTCTGCCCTAACTCGACCTGAGAGATACGACACACACCCACTTTCATTCAACAAGTTGTAACTAAGTACTTAGCATGTGTCAGGGAAAGAATGGCTCCAGATTCTCATCAGCCTGGGATCTGTGCAAGCCGCCATCTCTGGGGTCCGTGGGGTGGATGTCCAGGTCTGGGTCTGTCTAGAATCCACTCTTACCTCCCGTTAACAGCCCTCTATGTCTGTCTTGGGATGCCCCCTCCCCAAATTGCTGAATACCTGAGATCTGCATGGGCCTGCCCTTTCACCCATGAGCTGGGTGGGGACATGCTCCAGGCCTGGCTAATCAAAGCCCTGCATCCCTGTGGCTGGGTCAGGGACCAGCCTGGGGTGTAAGCTGGACCAATGAAAAAACATGAGCCTATTGTTGGAACAGCTGGGAGGGATACTGCCTCTTTCTGCTGAAAGAGACACCGGCCTCTTACTGCCTCTATGGCGCCAGCGCCCAGGGAGAACGGGCCAACACAACATGGAAGAAAGCAGAGCTGAAAGATGAAGAGAGAGATGGAATCTAGGGGCAGAGTTCTAGCAACTGGGTCCAATTTTTTTTAAAGATTTTATTTATTTATTTTTAGAGAGGGGAAGGGAGGAAGAAAGAGAGGGAGAGAAACATCAGTGTGTAGTTGCCTCTCACGCGCCCCCTACTGGGGAACCCGGCCTGCAACCCAGGTGTGTGCCCTTAGCAGGAATCAAACCGGCAGCCCTTTGGTTCACAGGCTGGCACTCAGTCCACTGAGCCACACCAGCCAGGGCTACTGGATCCAATTATTAACTCCAGAGGATTTCAACTACACAAGCCAAGTAATTCCCTTTGTTCTTTTCCTGAAGCCAGGTGGCATTAGTCCAGGGCTCCTCAACCTCAGCAGGACAGGCATGTTAGACCGGACCACCCTGCTGTTGGCTCTGTCCTGTGTCTTTCCCATTCTGGTCAACTTCTGGGAAATGCCCACTTGACTTTTTCTAAGACAGAGAGTTAAAGAAAGAAGCAGAGACTTGGAGAGTTTGAGACAGAAAGGGGAATGGGGTCTCTTACATGATAGTTCGCTGCATGTCAGAGGCAGGATTGCCCCTTTCTGCTCCTCGTCCTCTTGTCACTTCAGCTGCTCTGGAACAGACACCCAAATGCTTGTTGGGAAGACTGCTTGTGCAGACATCAAAACACATAACCTTCTTCTTTCAGGGGGAAAAAAAAAAGATCCCACAAAATCAGAAACCCGAGTTTCCCCTTTAAGAAGAAAGTCCCCTTTTTCCTTGGACCAGAATAATTGGCCAGTGAGATGCAATCGTGCAGACGAAGTTCCGAGTGGGAGGATGAGACGAGAAGCCTGTTTCCCACATGGAGGCTGTGCTTATTTACAGGCGATCTTTTCTGATCTGCTGCCCACGGCCAATCACAGGAATGGGCCGCTCTGCCCTACTGCCTGCACCTGTCCCAGAGCTGACCACGCTCACCCTCTCCCAGCCCCTCTGCCTCCAGCTCCTGTAAATTATTCCCAAATGGCTTACATCTCTCTTCTCTCCACCTGAGGTATAAAGATGCTGATTACATTAGCATACACACGTGCCTTTGGTTACTAGAAATCGGGCTAACAAACACATTACTGAACAATTGAGGGTTCATAAGCAGGATCTTTCAAAACCTGGAGGCCACAGTGACAAGGAATGACACAGAAGCGTCTTCAGTGGTAAACTACTTGAAGGTGCCAGGCCAGGAGGCTCACGTCCTCATGTCTTCTAGGTCATAAACGCTCCCCTTTCCTAGCCTGTCTGCTGCCCTTGCTTTTCTCCCCCGCTGTGAAATATAGTACACCCTTCCCCTAACTATGCTACTCTACCTCAACTATTAAGGCTTGAAACAGCTCAGCATCCCCAACAGACGACTGAGGAAGCAGAAACAGCAAAGGGAAAGTGCCTGCACCTGACAACAATGGAGACCAAACATGCCAGTTCCGCACACCACCTGGGCTTTTTTTTTTTAAGTATCCCCACCACACTCCCTGTCCTACTGAATCAGAAGCTCTGGGGTTGGAGGGCGAAACCTGCAGGCCTAGCGGGCTCCCAGTAGACCCTAAGATAAGGTGGAATTCAGGAAAGGTCTTAGACTAGACTGCCCTGCCTCTCCCCCATGCCTCTTTCTCAGGCTGTGTAAAATGTCAGCGACTCAAATGTACTGAAATGGGGATGGAGGCCAAAGAGGTCCGGCTTGGGTCCCGTGTTCTGCCGTCTCCCCTCACCAACGCCCGTTTTCACATGCTAGCTCCCCTTTCCAAATGTTCCTCTCCTGTCCCCACCGGCTGCCTACACCTTACCCATCAAGCTTCCCCCTCACCTAAGGACATCAAGATCATTCTCTCTTCCCTCTCCACGCTCCTCTGGCCTTCCCTCGACCCACTAGGGCAACCCGAAGCCCAGACCGCTCAGCTACCCTTTCCTTGGCCCCACCCCCTCCCAGACCTGGGCCTACTTCTTGCGGTCCAGCTTTCAGAGACCTTCCACTGGCTCTGCCTCCTCACCAGGTACACACAACGCCGGGTCACTCCCTATCCAGGAGCTTCCCCATCTTCTAGAAGGCCTTGGCCGGGACCTTACCACTGACCTCTCCCTGGCCCCACCTCCATCCACCTGTGTCCAACCCTTAAAGCTGACCCCGCCTCTCCTTCGAGGTGGCCCTGTCCCGCCAGACCTAGCATGAAACCTTCTTCGTCCAGCTGGCTCCAGCTCGCGTCTACCTTCTACCTGGCCCTCTCCCCTGGCGGAAGCGCTCCCGGACGCCTCAACGACCCTGACGCCCACTCCGCTGAAGCCGACAGACGCGGCAAAGCCGTGGGCCCGGGCATGCGACACCCGCCAGTCCTTCAGTCCCTCGCGGGCGGCCCCACTTGCCTCGCGTCTGGCCCGCACGCCACTGTCCTGGGCGTCCCACCAGGAACTCCGGGGCACTCGACTGCGCTCTTAAGTTCGCGCCACGGAATTCGCGCGCAGACGTCGGCAGCCGGGGGCGGGGCCAAGCCGAGGGGCGGGGCCCGGGGTTGTCAGCGCCGCCGCCCGGCGGACGCTGTGAATTGTAGTTTCCTGGGCAGGGGGCTGCGAGGAAGAGGGGGTGAGGTGGAGCGAGTCCTCCCGCAGAGCACGCTGGGAAAAGGCCCGCGCCCTCTGTCGCTCCGGGCGAGTGGATGTGGTTGCAGGTGGTCAGAGTGACTGACAGGGGAAAAGGGACATTCGGGAACAGGCGCTGCGCGAGGCACGGCGGGAAGAGAGGCGGGAGGCTGCGCGGGGCATCCCGGGAGCGAGGGCCTCGGCGCGGGGCATTGTGGGAGGTGGACACCGCCTCGGGGCGGGTAGGTGAGTGGGGAGGGGCGGGAAGGGTGCACATCTGGGGGAGGGAAGAGGAACTACTGGGTGGGACAGCAGAAGGAAAGGGACCGCGGCGGGCGGAGCTGGGCAGGGGTTGCGAGAGCGGGCTGGGAGGGGCTGCACGGGGGTGGGGGAGCGCAGCTGGAAGCGGGGAGCATTTGGAATGGGGCCACGTCTTGGACGATAACGCACCTCTGGAGGATGATACCTGTAGGTGGAAGGAGGGGGCCACAGCTGGACTGGGGGAGCGCGCCTGAGCAGAAAGGGGACACAGATGAATATTAGTGACACTTCTGAGAATTGGCCACAAGTGAATGGGGTACACATCTGTAAAGAAAGTATCATACTGGATGTGGGGAGTACCTCTAGATATGGAAGCATTTCTAAGAAGCAGAGGCCACAGCTGGATGTGGCGACTCATAGGAGCTACACCTGGGGAAGGGGCAGCAGCTGCGTATCGGAGACACATCCAGGGAGGAGGGAGCCACAGGTGTATGAAGAATAGGATTGGGGGTGAGGGGCCCATGACTGAGTGTGGGAGCACATCTGGAGATGGAACATCTTTGAGGGGGGCACGGCTGTACCGTCCCTTGGAGGGGAGGGTTCCAAATGAATGGGGCACTAGAGGTTACTGCCACGCGTAGGAGACACATCTGGGGGGAAGAGGAAGTTTGAGCTGGAAGTTGGGAACACATTTGAGGACGTGTCCACAACTGAGCTTTAGAGTCCTATTGTGGGAGAGGAACCCCCGCTGTGCCTTGGGGTCACGTCTGTGGGGGAGAGAACCAGAATTGGGATTAGGGGTCAGGATGACAGGTGGCAACCATCCCTGGAATAATGAAGGTGGGGTGGAGGCTCACATCTAGAGATTAATGGAGGTGCATCCTGCCCTGGGGGCTACTTGGAGAGAGACGCAGGCACCAAAGAGGCAGGTCGAAAATGGAGGGAGTGGGCACCTCAGGTGGCAATGGCTTTGTGGTCTTAGGTACTTGTCCTCCCCCCTCTCACTCAGACACCCCGGGATGGAGCCCCCGCCTGGCATGGCGGTGGGGCCAGAGGAGCAGGAGCTGCTGGAGCGGGCCTTCTTCTCGTGGGCTGAGTTCAGCCGCTTCTTCGACGCGTGGTGCCAACAACGCCTGGCGCTCTTCTTCGTCCAGAGCTCCATGCACCTGACGCGCTGCCACTGGGCCAGGTTGCCCCCGCTGTACACGCTCATTGACGTGCTCAAGTACAGCTACGTGCGGCTGGTGTGCAAGGACGTGCGTGCTCCCAGCCGGCCTGCCATAGGGTGAGTGTGCTGAGCCACCACCCTGCTGGGTGCCAGTGGGGAAAAGAAAGCAAGGGGCAGGGGGAGGCACAGAGCCCCCCACCTCAGGATTGGGAGAGAGAGATGCCTGCTGAAACAGGAAGAGGCTGAGCCCACTTTCCCTTGCGGCAGCCCAATCAGACCAGGCTTTAGCACTCAGGTGCCTCCACTCTCTGCTGCCTCATATTTAGCGTTGCCTCTTCCTTGTCTTGCCTGCCTGGCCCTCATAGGTTCAAGTTCGAGACCTGTGGTTTTGGGGAGCCGTGGACAAGAATAGAGTGCCTGAGAACCCAGGCCCTGCCTTCCGGCTGTGTGAGACAGGCTCTACCATTTCCTGGGTGGGCGTCTTGGGCAACGGACTTCTCATGGCCCAGCCTCGGTTTGCTCATCTGTGAAATGTGGTTATCACAGTACCCCCTCATGGGACTGCTGGGAGGTTCCCATGAGACCATGCACAGGAACGTGGGGCGGCTGGGTAAATGACAGCTGGTACAGGAGTCGAGAGCACAGCCTTCTGGGTGCAGATGATGGCTCTGCTGCTGCTGATTAACCGGTGACATTGAGCTTGCATGCAATGTCACTTTTCCTGGGCCTCAGTTTTCTCAATTGGAAAATGGGAGAATTACTAGTACCGATCTCATAGAGTTTGTGAGGATTAAATGAGATAATATGCACAAATCATTCAGAAGAGTGCCCGACGCAGCGAACAGCAGTTCTCACTCATAGTTACTTAAACCTGGATTGTGAGATTACCGTCCTCAGTAATTTATTCACCACCTCTCAAAACAGAGACTCAGAGCCCTGGCTGGTATAGCTCAGTGGATTGAGCATGGGCCTGCGAACCAGACAATTACAGTTCAATTCCCAGTCAGGGCACATACCGGGGTTGCAGGCTGGTTCCCTGCAGGCCAGTTCCCAGCAGGGGACGCATGAAAGGCAACCATACATTGATGTTTCTCTCCCTCTCTCCTTCCCTTCCCCTCTAAAGATAAATAAATAAAATCTAAAAAAAAAAAACAGAGACTCAGAGATCTGGGAGCAGAACAGCATCAAACACGCCTCGTCACACAGAAATCTAGAACATTGGGACTTGCAAGGAGCTTATGCTCAATCTGGAATCTCCCTTTGTTAACAAAATCTAATTCAAAGTAACACTGAGTACCTACTGTGCGCATGCTCCTTGCTGGGCATTTTGAACCCAGCGCTGGTCTCTGCCCTTGAGGAGCTCAGAACTAATGGCGGAGACAAAGACAAAAAAATAAAAGGAAATAGTGACCCACAGTAGTGAGAGCCAGGTTGAAAGGGGAGAGAGAGGAATATAAAAGAGAGTGGTCAGGTCCACTGGAGAGCTTATAGGGTGGTTCTGGAAGGCTTCCTGGAGGAGGTGACCAGGAATCTTGACATTGTTATTTATTTCTATATGTATATACAGTACTTGACTTAACAACCGCATGGTGCATACTCTGTGCAGGCATGTCTCCAGTGCTCTACAAATATCAGAAGGAGCCATGGATGGGGGCACGGGGTGGGGGAGGGACAGGCTGTGGAGGGGGCGTGGCCTGGTGACTTGGTGGACAGTGGGATGGTGCCTGGATGGGGAGCCCAGAAATGGGAGTGGTGGGTGAGCTGTTTCCAGGGCGACTTGGGGCCATCACTTGTGAGCCCTTCTGCCTCCCACGCTGCTCAGAGCCTCTACTGTGTCACAGCCTGGGGACAGCACATGCATGGGCTGAGGGCTGAGGCTGGAGAAAATTAGTGTAAGAGATGTGGCTGGAATGGTGTCCAGGCCCAGAGCTGCGTCCTTGGGCTGGGGCTTTACCCTGGGGGCCCTGGAGAGCCCCAGGAGGGCTGTGAGCAGGGTCACCTGTGCGGGTAAGGAGATCCTTCTGTGACTGCAGGGGGACAGACGGGAGGAGCGAGATGGCACAGAGAGGCTTTCTTTTATCTCCTTCTCCCTTTGCTGGACCGTGTACCATGGCCTCTCCAAATCCCCACCCCCATCTCCCTCTCTCCTGGGCCTCTCTCGAAGGCACTCTCCTCCCCACCACAGGACCAGCCCCACCTCTGCCAGCTTTTGAAAACACAAAGGTCTTGCCCTGGCTGGTGTAGCTCAGTGGATTGAGCACGGGCCTGTGAAGCAAAGGGTCGCTGATTCGACTCCCAGTCAGGGCACATGCCTGGGTTGCAGGCCAGGTCCCCAGTAGGGGGCCTGTAAGAGGCAACCACCCATTGATGTTTCTCTCTCTCTCTTTCTCCTTCCCTTCCCCTCTCTCTAAAAATAAATAAATAAAACATTTTTAAAAAACACAAAGGTCTTGAGAAGCAGAAAGATCAAGAAGAAATGGGCAAGTGACATATAAAGCAAATCAAAGCGGTGGCACTTTTAGGAGAACAGACATGGTTCCAAAATAGTGGCTGCTTTTTCTTTTCTGTTGACTGTGTGTCAGCTTCTTTCCTAAGCTCTTCGCAAAATTTGATCCTCTGGCCTAGTCCTTTCCACGAGTCTCTGAGGCTGGTGTTATTACCATTAGCCCCAATTTCCAGATGAGGAAACCGAGACACAGAGAGGTTCAAGGACCTTCCTGAGATAACACGGCCGCCAAGGGGAAAAACCGGGATCTGGACCTGCGGTGTTTAATCACAAAGCCCATGCTCTCTCCTCCCCCTTCCTCTCCCTCCTCCCCTTCCCCTGACCTTTATTTCAATCATGGATGCTCAGTACGAGAGTTGAATGTGCAGGCACCCTGAAGATTCGGGGTTCTAGGTGCTATGATGTTTGTTCACTCATGGGGAGGTTTGTTTTGAGCACCTACTATGTGCAGGGTGAATGTATTTTAGATGCTGGGGCTTCAGTGGGAGAGCTCCCCATTCAGGGGGGGACCATATGTTACTCATGGACATCAATCAAACCTTCATCCCCATGTGTGATGAAATCTGCCGTAACCTGGGGAGGTTAAGGAAGACTTCCTGGAGGAGGTGGCACTGACTGAATTGTGAAGGGCGATTAAAAGTTAGTTAGGTCCAGAGAGCAGAGAAGGATGTTTCCTGAAGAAGGGAAGAATTTGCAATAGGTTGGTGGCAGTGGGAAGGCGGGGAAGTGGATGGTTTGGAGAGTGTAGAAGACGGATGGGCGGGACTTGGTGATGCGTGAGGGGCGGGGCTTAGTGATGCGTGAGGGGCGGGCCTCGGAACCTGCATCCTATGGTGGGATTCAGTCATTAGCTCATTACATATTTACTCAGCGCCAGCCAGCGGCCAGGGTCTGGGTGCTCAGTAAATGAAACAGATAAAAGCCCTGCCCACATAGAGTTTACATTGAGGGGTCAGCGTGATTACTCTCCCAGCCAGCTGGAGAAAAATTGCAAAACAGCGGCGCACCAAGGTTGCAGTAGATGACTGTGTGAGGTCCTCGAACCAGAAGG